GCATCATTCAATTGCTCGCATAAATGTATGTCTTTCTGAACGCTTGAAATTCATATAGAGACTAAGTATGTTTTAAAATCTAAATTATCGCTTGACCTTCGTGACCTCTTCCAATCTTTCGATTCGCAACGTATAAACAAAGCAACGAAAAGATATTCCTCGTGACTTCCTTATCATCCTCATTCTATTAGAAAGTATCAACGTAATTTAAAATTTTTGAATTTATAGATAACTCGTTTGGAAATTTGCTGGATATATTCGCTGTATTGCACACAGAATGTTTAAAATAATGAGCCTATTATGATAAGAATTTGTATTTTTTTTTGTGATAACAAAATCAATATATTATTAACAATTGAATTGAAGAGATTGATTCCATTTATCCAAACATGTTCATGATTATTTCATCAAAACGAAAATTACACAGTTTGACATGGCTTCACGCTTTAAATGAACGGATAAGAATGAAAGTGTCCAAAAGTTTGAATGAACCACAGAGACTACATTTTCTGAAAAGCGAATTCACTGATTGCAATTGCAGAAAAGTGTTTGGAATTTAATTTTTTGTGATCTACCGCTAAAACTTTGCATGTAAAATCTCAATATTTGTGAGTTGAATTCAACAAAATCTTTATTTTAAATAAGTGTATTATGAGTACAAAAATGCACATGTATTTTATAATTTGGTAATATTGTGCTTTATTTCCATAAGTCATATGAAATTATTTCGAAATGGATATGGTCGAAATAAATATCTAAATAAAAATAATCGATGAGATCTGCTTAGAATTTATTCACAATAGAGTTTTCATGTACGGCCATAAAATTAATAACCCATCCAGTGCCGGCAAAGTTTAAGCTGCTTTTGAAGTGCACCTGAGAATTTGAACATTTAAAAAAAATTAAAGTGTACTTTAACTTAAGCCTGATTTTTTGAAGTATACTTTCACTTGACTGGAACGAGCTTTGTATGGTGCTGGATTATCGGCTCCGCAAAATTTGGTTGCTGCCAGATTTTCATCGTTCTCGATGATTTCCACATAGTTCAATTCACATGTTGATCTTGGACCCATGTCAAATACTAAAATGAAACAAAATGAAATAGCATTTTCTCAATTTAATTTGCACGACATGGTTGAAATATACCTGAGAATTGTAAAGCCACATAAAGGTTCATTGGAACATTTATTGTCCATGTACAATCAGAGTTATTTCGATCTGTATTCGGGTAGCCGGGACTTGAGAATGTGCCGCCATAGTTGTACAACTCACCACCACAGCCTAGATGCAAGGAAATCATTGCTTTGAATCTATTTTGAAATGGAAATTAGTCGAAATTACCTTTGTCCGTCGCTAAATAAGTGATATCGTACAAATAGCTCGGACTGTATATGAGCGAGGTATTTTTGAAATGCAGTCGAAGTTGATTGGTTGTCGTGAATAACGGCGATGGCACACTTTCACCACAATATGACTTTATAAGCTCATTATTTCGGGCATTATAAATCTTTGAAATGCAAAAATAGATAATTTCATTTAAACGAAATTGAGTCGAATTCAATGGAATACTCACTTTTAGAGGTGTGTTATTTTCGGTGCAATCGTCACTTAAACGCATATCAAGTATGGCAAAATAGAGAGAAATCGTATGGTTTTCAGGAACAGTAATGTATGAATCACAATCCATAAGTTCTATGCACCAAAAAAAAAAAATTATTGCTTTGAATCTATTTTAAGATGGTAATTAACCGGTAATTACCTTTGCCAAATAAGCGCCCTTGCGGTTGCGAATAATTTCGAGCACAATCTGTGTAGATGAATGAAATAACAATTGTTTTTGAGATCAAATTTTTCGGATAATAATTGGGCCCAATTGAAGACAGCAATTTTTAATTAACTTACCAGCAAATATTTTTGCCGTAAATGTAAATCCAAGTCCTTCCTTGTCATCGTTCGATTTAAAATGCACATAAATTTTTTTGTATGTTGAGAGATAGTCAATTGGTGTATTGTTTCCACAGTAACGATGTGCAGCTGTTGGCCATTGTCGACCCTAATCGAATTGATAGGAAAATGAAAGATGTTCAATTGAGTGCGGTTAAAATGGCAAATTTTCTGCAAAATTCTCACCGTATAGAAGTATTGGTTTTTCAACTTTGATGAACCAGAGAATACTGTAATGAGACATAAATACATTTAAAATATCATCACTAATACTTGTAATTAGAGCAATTTCTACCAATATTTTCACCAAGTCCTTCACGCACATATTTATTACTCTGTGTGCAAAGAAAAGATAATTATTTTAAACGCCATTGAACCTATTAATAAAATATCGCATTACCTCATCATCGGTGATTTCAAGAAAATCATTTGTGCATTTGTTTTGCTCATCCGATTCCAAATCGAATTGATCGAAATGAATATCGACCAAGTGATCATCTTCAACCGATATTTCCCAAATGCAATTCAAATTTGGTTGATATGTGGTACTGTTATACATCGGTGACTTGATTGTAATGCTGTTGAAAGAATCGCTCAAATTATAGGCGGTTCTTCCGCATGGTGATTCTTTCATTTTTAAATTAAGGCTAAATCCAGTGCCAGACCCTTCATTGTCAGTTACGAAACGCAAGTACATGCGTGGTGTGGTTGTTATTATGTCTGGTGGATTTTCATTACCGCAAAATGTACCAAATGATTCAGCAAACGGTCCGCCACCATCACGAATGTTCAAGTAATCACAAGTGCATGAATTACTATCAAGTGTATTATTAGTACATGGTCTCAAATGCATTTGATTAAATTTAGCTTCAATCACATAACCGACGGGTGCTCTAACAACATATTCACAATTCATATTTGGCTCGTATGAACCATACAGTTTGTTCAGCGTGTATTCCGAAATGCCATCACCCAAAGCTATGTCTTGATTACAATTCTTTGTGAATAGAATGGCTGCGATAAAACCTTTTTCATTGATCGTTGCATCACTTGCAAATTTAACAATGGCTTTGTTCGAATCAACACTGATGGATGGCATATGCTCAGTAAGATTGCCACAGAGGCGTGCTTTTCGATTTTCAGAGATTGTACTATGACCATCGTAAACTTCTACATAATCCAAATAACAGCCACCCATTTGTTCCAAATCAAATTGCTCAAAACGAACGGTGATCTTTTTATCCCGTGGCGCTGTTATAAACCAAATGCACGAGGCCAATGGCAAATAGCCTTCATTATTATCATCGTGCAAACTTCCAATTTGTGTTGGTTCTGTTATATTACCGCCACATCGATCGGTACTATATTCAAATTTGAAACCCGAACGCTCGATGTACGAATCCGTTCGGAATACAATGTCAATTCGTGATGTATAACGGAATGTGGTGATCGAATTGTTCAAACAATAAGTACCCACTTCTTCCATATTGTCGGATATCATGTATGGTGATTGCTTGTAAACGGTTATATTGTCAAATATACATACGGCATTCGTTGTTTCTAAATCAAAGGCCAAGAATTTAACCGACACGGATTTACCATTTTCGGCAATTATCGAGTAATTGCAGACAATATTTCTTGGATAATTTTCAGGATAACGAGGACTTGTTATGATTTGAGGCATGTCGGTTGCTTTGAAAGTACCACCACAATTTTCGAACCATTCAGCTGAAAAACCGTCACCGGCACCATCGGCATCTGAAATGTAAAAAAAATTAAATTTTAAAGGAATATTCAAATGTTTTTTTTCTTTTTCAGAGATATAAGTGGGCACCCAGATTCCGAGGGAACCCGATTACCCTCCTCCTCTACTTCTTTCAATTTTCTATGGCTTTCACTTCTAGACTTTTGTCGGCAATATTCCATGAGAAACGCGTTTTCCTCTTTTCCGTGCATTGTATAAAGATGTTATTGTCTTTGTTAGCTAATAAATGCTAAAAATAAATTTGAATTCACCTGTATGGAATAACCTAAAAACGAAATTGAATGTAAAATATCATTAAATTGCTACGCGATAAAATATCCATGAACTTACACTTTCATTTCGCGTCCCGTCGAATTCAAATACGGTGGAGTATCACGTCCGCACAATCGTTTCAATTCTTTAAATTCTCCATCCACCTTGTTAAAAACTTTCACATAGTCTTTCGTGCAATTATTGCTTGTTTCGATCATAAATCGATTTGTAAAAACTAATCCGACATGGTATCCATTTTGAGCTCGAATATTCCATTCGCATTCCGTGTTGGGTGGATATTTGGTACCAACTTTTGGACTTGAAAATATATAATTTGGTGGATCCAAAATGCCGCCACATATTCCATTGGAAGTAACCACATCAATGGAAAACGGTGTATTGGGATTATAATTATCGGAATGATATTCCACAAATACTTGTTGTCCGCTTATTGTAATCGAACGATTTCGATCGGCATCTCCACAAATGCGATTGAGTTTCGGTCGATTTGGTGTGCTGCCTCGATAGATATTTATGTAATCGGTTTCACAATTCATAGCCGGTGCATTCAGAATCAGTTGAATATTCCGTTCGGTGTTCGTCGTATAAAGCCACGCACAGTCCAATTCACCATAATTTGATGAAAGTGTTGGAATTGTCATTCGGTTCATTGTCTCCGTCAGTACGCCGCCGCAATTATGCACTTTGTATGGGAATCGGTATTTATGCATCACTGTATTGCGCAGTGATAATTTTGTATTTGGATACGGTGATGCGATATTATCATATTTCGGCGGGCATTTTGTGTAGAATATTCGTTTTTCAGTGTTGGGGAAAAGTACCGAAATTCCGGTCGGTAGGTTTGGAATGCACGTAGTGCGACTTGCGTTCAGCGATTCTTCTTGTATTTTAATTGAAAGTGTACCAAAGTTTGGTTGCGATTCATTGAATGGCTTGTGATTTTTTCGAGTATATTCACAGTAGAATTTGGTCACATTTTCCGGTGTCATAAATGATCCTTCGTTATCGTCCAAATTGCCCGCACAAATTGTCGGTTCGTTGGATGAAAAACGCATTTTAAACCCTCGATGACCAACATTCGAGCGACGAATTAGTGCGCTGATTGCAAGTGTATTATCGGTTGAATAAACTACTGGTAACGTTTGGTTGTTGGGGACAAGCGTGGTGATTGGGCTTGTAAAATAGAAATCATTATAGAATGAAATACGATGATCGGAATTAGATGAAAACACCATAGTACTGATCAAAATAAGTCGAGATGGTTTCATATCGAAATCGAGTACTTCAACTTTAACACGTCGACCTTTGGGCACAGTTATCATCCATTCACAGTAACGAGAAGCATCTGGACTAATCGGATAGCCAGGACTTTGAATGACACCATTTGATGCTTCGATTCGAGCACCACACACATCAACGCTCGATTGGAACCTAAGACGAAAACCGCTATACAAACTATTCGACGATACCGTAACAAATCTCACCAATGCAACTGAACTGAAGGTCAAAATACTTTCGGGTATGATATTGCCACACAATTTTGTCACTTCGCTCATAGACGTACTTCCGTTTGTATTTCGAATGACCGAATAGATGACTATGTGATCGACGGTGCTGCAATTGTCTGCTTCTGGTAGGTCCAAACTCAATAGCGTGATATTTACGACCGTTCCAATACGACCCGTGATGTGATAATCGCATGTCGCTTGCATTGGATAAGCACCCTTTCCTGGGAATCCTGGACTTGACATATAGCCACTGTATCCTACGACTGATTTACCACAACGTGCCAATGAAACCTTTGCCTTGAATCCATTTCGAGGAACCGAAACATCCGTAAAGAATTTCATCCATATCATATTCGATTGAGAGAAAATTGGTGGCGGTTTAAAACCACAGTACTGCCCAATAACTGGTGAGCTCGATGTGCTGCCTTCACGAATTTCAACATATTCACTTGTACATTTTGGTGTCGGTGTCAAATCGAATCGTTCCAAAAATTCAATTTTCATGAGTTCTCCATTCGGCGCCGTTACACGCCAAATACACTCAATATGTGCACTATAAAAATTTTAAAATTAATTCTTTCGTACTAGATTTTAATAAAAAAAAAAAAATAGAAACCTTGGTATTTCTGGATAGTTGGGCGACGCTATAATGGTTGAATTATTGCCATAGCTCAATTGGAACGAACCACCGCAATCATATTCAACTTGTCGATATTTCAAAATGAAATCATTTTGCGAATTGAATCCTCGATTTCTGACAAATTGTACGATTGCCTTGTTACTGCTTGACCTTGGAATTGTTGGTTTGCCGCTACAATATTTGCCCGAGCCCAAGAACGGTGAATCATCATGAATGCCATTTTTCAGAACAATGTAACTTATGCATCCATCTGTGGTCTTTGCCAAATTCAAGCGATCAAATTCAAATTGAATTGTTCGACCTCGTGCCACACTCACAGTCCACGTACATGTTTCATTCATCCAAAAATGTGAAAAATTGGCAACGGTCATTCTACTCGTAATTTCACCGTATGGACCTTCGAAATTTCCACCACAATCTAATCGTACAACACTCTCAAAACCAGTTCGATTATCAGAGAAATCGGAATTAAATTGTATACGCAAGTTCGGTTTTCCGTGGAAACGATTATTTCGCAAAAGTTGACCCATTGTACATAATCGTGTTTCCTGTTGGAATCGTTCCATATCCGATCCACTATCGATGCGCACATAATCGGTTACACAATTTGATGACGACTCTAAATCAACGGTCACCATTGAGACACCAATGTGATAACCCATTTTCGATGGTAAGAATGTCCATTGACAGAATTCACCATTAGTGTATCCATATGGAAAACCAGGTGATTTCAATCTTATATCTTCGTGCTCATGAACAGTTATCACTGAATTACGTGAACAATTCAAACTATTTGTTACATTATTTGTTATGTCGTCACCTAATTTCGGTACTTCGCTCCAAAATAGTTTGAATTTCGATTCACTGAATGTCGGTATCTGAAATTCGATCAAAAGAATATTCGTGCTCGAGATAATTGGTTCGGTTGGAATGGAATCAGTTGCAATGTTTGATAAAACCCCTGATGCTACGTCAAAGCCGTCAAATATTTGAATTTGACTGTCACGTTTTAAGATACAATTATCGATTTTGATTCGGATTAAACTATCTGTTCCGACTGTGATACGCCATTTGTACGAACCGGTCGTATAGTACACATAGTTTGGATACATCAACGATGTTATAATACCACTTTCTCCTGTCAGCTCCACCAATTTAACTTTTTTTGCAAGAGATTAATGATCCAGTCAGTTAGTTTGAATAAATTTTGTTGGATTTTTAAAAAAAGCAATTTACCATAACTGTATTCAAGTAAAAATCCACGTCCAACGCCATCGTTGTCACTTCGGAACTTCAACCAGTAGGTATTTGCATGGGGAAGTGTTGGGGGTATATTATTACCACAATAAATGCCAATCACCTTTCCACCACTGTTATTTTCACGAATTTCCAAATAGTCGCCGTTACAGTGTTCCGTCTCATCAATCTCCAGCACATTGATATTTATCGCCATTTTATTTCCAGGCGATGAACGAATAGTCCATTCACATTCAATGTTATTTGTGTAGCTAAATCAAATGAAATTGGAAGTAATTATCAAAAAAAAATATTGGCCAAATTATAAACGATTGATTTTTATGAATGATTTTTCAGTCATTACTTACGTCTTTGGATAGCCAGGCGATGCTGCAATGAAAATTCAATGAAATTAGTTTTGAAATGTCATTCACCGGAATATAATATTACTTACCGATTTGACCGGAAATAGATGAAAATACACCACCACATGCTGTACAATGATAAAGAAATTAAGGTCTTCAAATATTCAAATATGTTGTATTTAGATACAACTACAAAAGAGTTATAATTAAACGAAAGGAAAATAAAAAAATACCATTATCAATGACAGAGTAATATGCTTTTAGATCAAATGTAAATGCGAAATCTTGTTCGCCAATTTCGCCCAGAGCAATTGTGAGAGAGTTTCCTTCGGAGATGATCGTTGGGGGATGTGTGTTTGAGCAAATTTCGGCCACTTTTGGAGACCGTGTGGATGTGCCATCGTGAATCTGTTGAACATAAATGATCAGATTAAAATTCAAACAACTTTTGTCGGACAGTTCTTGTTATTAATGATAGAAACGGGCGACTTACAAAAATATTTCTCACGCATTCGCTTACAGATTGATTTGTAATGCGTGCAACGTATTTCTGAAAGACGGGTTCATTTTCAATGTGCATGATGCTGAGCGAAACATGCTGACTGGGATTTTCTGCAGTGATCGTCCATTCGCAGTCATCGGCAAGCCATCGTATATTGTGACCAATTTGAATAATGCCCGACGATGATGTGACTATTTTCGATCCACAAGACTGTGATAAGAGAATACATCAGTTTTATCACAATACAAGTGAATGCTCTCTCAATATTACCGTTTCAAATGAAGCTTTAAACCCTTTGGCTTCGATGGAGCTATCCGTTTCCATAACAACCAGCATTTCATTGCCGGTGGATCGAATTGGTTTCGTAAAACCAGGACGTGCCGTTTGATTTACTGCATCCGGTACAAATGGTTGAGAGCCACACGTCCTCAGCAATAGTTTATCATTTTTCATTTCTTTACCATCATAAATACTTACAAAATCGGCCATACATTCGTGATCCTCCAAATCGAAATCGAGGAATTTGAACGAAAGAGTGTGCGACGGTTCTGTACGAAGTAACCATTGACAATTTGTGTTGCCAGGATAGTTATTCGGATAGTTTACACTCGAAATATTTCCATGTGTTATTGCAAATAGTCCACCACATTCTTGAATTGAAAACAATTTACTTCAAAAGTGAAAAATATTTGTTTTTTATTTGGTTTTACTTACTGGCTGGTATCGATTTATATGTGGCCGAAAATCCTCTGCCCGAATATGAAAGATCCGTGAAAAATTTTACAAAAACTCGATTCTCACTCGAAGTGACGACCGATTTTTTACTTAGATCATTAATACTTCCGCAGAATTTTTGTATTACGTTCGTTGCATTTTCATTATTTGAAACCTAATGGTGATAAACCATTTAGTATTATATTTGCAGATCGATAGAAACAGTTCAAAACTTACAATCACTCCATCATGTTTGCAGTCTTGTCCTTGTGATGCTTCGAAATCATAATCAACGAAAGTGATTTCGACCAAATGTCCATATTCAACTTCAATTGTCCATTTGCAAATTGTGTCGCTTGGGTAGCCATTTGGATAGTTTGGAGATGTGAAACTTCCTTCCGGTTTATTTAGAATACCACCACAACCTTGAATTTGATATTCCAAATGAAAACCACCAGCTGTATTACTGAAATCGGTCGTGAACCTAGAAATATAATTAATATAAACATAATAACCCTCAATAATTGATGCATATATCACTTCAATGATAATTCAATGGCATTTGATCATATTTGCTTTATTTTTAGACGGTTCCTCTAGAGGAGGAAGAATGGCGTGGAGAAGGAGAGCGTTAAGGAGCCCCCGCGCGGAAGAAGACCATTTTCATCCGTCACCTCCTTCTCACGATTATTCCTCCTTAGGGGATACACTCACTTCATTACAACTGTATGTGAGGTATTCAATGGTTTTGGCATTTTTTCACAGTATTTGTCCGATTTAATAACTACATCAGCACTGTCACGCTCTTCAATCACAAGACTATCAAACATGCAATTGTTCAAACTATCACTTGACCACGTATGCTCCAGATCAAAGTGTGAAAATTCAATAAATACTCGATTTCCCATTGTCGGTACCAGTTTCCATTCACAATTCGCATAATGTGGATAATGTGCCGGGAAATTCGGTGATTCTAAATATTACATAAAATAGTTCAACATTTAATTTACAATAAAGAGGATATAGTGATAAAATTTAATTCAAACTACCGATGGCTCCTCGTGAATCTTGAATTACGCGCTTGCAGTCTGACAAACAGAAAAAAGTTTATTAAATTATTATCGTTTTAAACCATCGATTGTCAAAAGTTATGTCTTACTCGCATTGAATTTCACCTCAAAACCACGCTCTTGATTGCTAACATCTGTAACCATTCGAAAGAAAATCGAATTTGATGTCGATTCCAATTGAATAATTTGTTCGCTGTGGCAATATGTTCCAAGTAAATGTGATGCGGATGTTGGTCCATCATAAATCTAAGGTAATGATATGAATCATATACCAAATTAACCTTATGGCCAACCCGGGTTGTTATTTATTTAAATGATTTACCGAGATATAGTCAAAATTGCAATCTTCCGAAGTCTCCATACTCAGGTCAGTCACCAGCAATTGCACCGTTGAACCGCGTGCTACTTGAATGGTATAATCGCACTGCATATTTGGTGGATAAGTATCCCTGACACAAGCAATTTTGATTTGAGAATTTTGAAAAAGAGAAAATTAAATTTGTTCAAACTCACGGATAGTTGGGTGATGATATCGTGCCACTTTGAGCATTTGTGAAAAGTCCACCGCAACCTAAAACGATCAAACCATTGTTATTAGATACAAGACGTTTGATATCAAAAATTCAACATACCAGTCATTGCAGTATTGTAGCTAATTTTGAAACCTTTATTCTCATTACTAGAGTCGGTCTTGAAACGCAAGTACATATGATTCGAAAACGATTTGAATCTTGGCAAAATATCTGTACCGCAAAATGAACCGATCAGCGGGCTTTTGTCTGAAGCACCATTTCTGAATATTTTAAAATTAAAAGATGCGACATAAAAAGAAAAGAAAAAGATTTTCATTAGAGTATAAAATCTCACTTATGAAGTAGGGCTCCCAATAAGCGCACTCTTCATGGGTGACAATTTCGAACGCCAGAAGACTTCTCAAAATTTTGTCAAACGAAATTTCTCCCGCAAAAAGAAATTTCGGGAAATCTGCTGGCATTCACAATTACATGCTCTATTTAATGTGGAAACGACAACAAGTTCGAACCTAATTTCCAAAGAATCGAATGAGCATCCATTGCTTTCTTCCAAATCAAATGATTCAATATTCAATTGAATTTGTTTGCCGTTTGGTGCGTTTATCACATAAACACAGTCTTTATTTGGTGGATATCGATCTGGGAAGTTTGGCGAAGACTGAACAAAAATGAAAAATCATTAAATGTATTGAAAAAAAAGAAACGAAAATTATTATTCCTCACAATATATCCAGTCAATGAGTAAATGTTGCCACCGCACACTGTAAAGACCAAATTTTAAAAAAAAACTCATCAATAAACCAAATTTCAAGCGAAGTAAATGAAAAAAGAGTTTTTCTTACAATTTCTTCCGTCAATGAAGTCATATGTAGCCATAAATCCATCTCCGGCAACAGATTCATCGCTTCGGAATACAATAGACAATGCACGTGTTGTACTTAAAAGAATCGGTGGCTTTTGGGTTCCACAATAGGTTCCGATCGGTTGTTTCGATTCACTGGTAACAATGTCATCGTAGATTTTTAAATAATCATATGGGCATCCAGTATACGATTCCACATCGAATGAACTGAATTTTAATTGAATCAAATAACCGGGCGGTGCAACTATAATCCATGTACAATTGGCACCATGCTTGTATCCATCATCATCTGATGGCGGTGAAATGGTTTGATTTGCTTTTGTGATTACTCCGCCACAACCTAAAAACACATATATGTTATTCGCACAAAGATATTCACTCATAATTTATGACCAACGTACCGGCATCGATGAATGAATACTGAGCTCTAAAGCCTGGCCCCTGATTTGACGAATCGGTACTGAACACCAAGTGCAAATGATTCATAGTTGACATTGCAACCGGTGGTTTATTGCTGCCACAATATTGTCCGATTAGTGTGCTATTGCTGTCAACACCATCGTATATGCTCAACGAATCAAAATCACAATCGGCCTCAATATCAAAAGCGGTAAAATTCAAAATAATCGATTTCCCCAATGGTGCCTGAATATCATATATACAATTTTTATTGTCTTCATATGGATTTGGATACCATGGTGATGTGATTACACCATTTTCATCTTCGAATTTTCCACCACAAACTAAAAATTGATTTCGGAATAGTAACGGGCGTTGATTTTAATTTTTTAAATGATCTCACAATTAAAAATTTCGTACCTGTTTCATATTTTAGGCGAAAACCTTCGTCGCTGAACGAAAAATCAGTGTGAAAAACAACAAGGACTTCATTTGACAGTGATGAATAGTCGGGAGGCAATCGAGTGCCACACCATTTTCCAACTTTTGGTGCATTTGTATTGTTGCCTTCATAAATCTACAATTTTAAATAAAAAAAATATTCACTTCGCCATTTACAATTTTCATAAAATGACGATTACCTCAACATAATCAAAGCTACACGAACTACTGCCTTCCAATTTGAACGTGGTAAATGATAGTTTGACTCGGGTTTCATTTTTACGTGGCATTTTAATAAGATAATGACATTCAATGTTCTTTGGATAGCGTCCATCTTGTATTGGCGACCCAAATTCGCCACTTTTTCCAGTGAACGTACCACCACACCCTTGAATTCCCTCGACAATCGAATAATGGATTTGGAAACCAGAGTCGGTTGAATCACCGTCTGAATGGAAATGCAATGTAAGCGTATTATCGGGACTCGTAAGCGGTTGTGGATGCATTGTACTACAGTATTTCTCCAATAAATCACCGTCCGTCGATAGTCCATTATGAATCTTTGAACGAAATAGTATTAATTTAAATATTTTGGCGTGTTTTTAATACAAAAATTAAATGAAATGGATATTCAGACTCACCGCTAAGTAATCATAATTACATGATGCATGAGGTTCTAGTTGCAAAGTAAAGAAGTGCAATTGAATGCGGCTATTTTCCGGTGCTGCTAATTTCCATATACAATCTCGATTTGGTGGATAATTACCCGGTGAACCAGGCGATGAAATTATACCATGCGATTTTATTGCAACATTGCCGCCACACACTTGAATTCACACAAAGAAAGATGGAATATATTTATGAAAAAGAATTCATTTTATGGTCAAAATATATTCGAATTGACAGGTACCTGGCTCTGTGCTGTTCCATTTAAGTTCAAATCCTCCATCTGTCGTACTGTTATCAGATCTAAACCACAAATAGAGCATATTTTGGGTTGATATTATGTTGCCTCCCTTTGGCAAGTTTTGGCCGCAGAATCTGAAAGAAAAAATGTCATCTATATTGAATCTACTTGATTTCAGTCGTTCTGATGCATTTACCTTCCAATCATGTATGAAGCAGATGATCGTCCATCATGAATCTAAAATATTGAAAAGTTCAAGAAAATTTGATATTTTTATATGAATGCAGAAAAAAATACAGAACACAGTTCATTATCAAAAGATGGTTGACAGCAAAAAAAACGCCTACCTGCAACCAATCGAATCGACATTCTACTGAATGTTCCAAATTAAACTTTGTAAATGTGACATTCAGCACTTTATTTTCGTCAGTTTTAATTAACCATGCGCATCGTGCATTATGAGGATAGACAGCAGATAATGGATATTTAAGAGTTCCATTAAATCCATTGAGTACACCACCACAAGAACGAACTTCCATTTGACAATTTCGACCAGTTCGGCTGGGCGGGCATGTACAGCGATACAAAAAGCGACTATTCAAAGTGCATGTTCCCCCATTTTGGCAAGGGTTCGGCGAGCAAGCGTTCACTGAGCGAGCGCAACGCGGACCGTTGGTATGGGGTGGGCACTGGCATCGATAGCCAAATGAACCAACACTTATGCAGGTTCCGCCATTCTGGCAGGGATTTGATGATGAGCATCCATCAATAGTACTGTTGGCACTTGTTGACCGAGTACAACCAAATGGGCCGATTCCATTGCCAACATAATGTGGAGGACAAACACATGTGACTGCATACAAATTTTGAACGCACGTAGCCAATGGATGGCATACGTTTGGATTATCACAACGGCTTTGACCGTTCGTTGGCTGAATTCCAGTGTTACTTGTTCGAATACAAACACGACCATCACCGGCGTAACCAAAAGGACATTGGCCGCATTTTGATGAACCCTAAATGTCAGAAAATTAATTTCATATACTTTTTGATGGTAAATCTTTGCATGAAATCTATTTTAATTTGAATTTTTCGATTGGATCTTACTCTTGTATTGATACATGAAACGAATGGAGATGTGCTACAACCGCCGTTATCGATAGCGCATTCATCAATATCCCGACAATAATGGCCGTTCCCAGTAAAACCATGAGGACACTGTCCACATGTGTATGTACCAGGTAAATTGATACAATTTACTTCGGGGTCCATTGAACAATGTGGATTTGGTAGCTCACATTCATTCACATCAACTGTGCAAGCCAAAGATGTACCATTGCTAGTCCATCCTTGATTGCAAATACATCGATAACCAATGCCGTCTTTTGTTTGGACACACACACCATGACCGCACATCTCGTACGACGACGTTGCTAAGCAGTCAACAGTGCTTTTCGTGCAATGAATTCCATGCCAACCCGGAGTACAACGACAACTGAAGAAAAAGAATGTGAACATTCAATGTGAATAGCTTAGATAGAAGGTTCTTTCACATTCTAGAAAGTGGCGAAGGAAAAGAATGATCCCTTACTTGTATCCACCAGGCGTATTTTCGCATGTAGCCGAATTTTGACAACCCAAATCAGTGCCAGCAAAATTGCTGCATTCGTTTACATCTTCTTCACAACTAACTCCGGTCCATTCCTTTGGGCAGTTACAAGTATAACCATTGAATATGTTCATGCATTTACCGCCATTTCGACATGGATTTGACGAGCAATTATCGGCATTCAAGCGTTCCACCAATCGATTGACTTTTTCTTCAAGTCGACGTAGGCGTCGATTAAGATTGGTCGTATTTGTGCCACGTGATGAACTGTTCATTCTGCCTTCAATCAAAGATAAACGTTGTAATATGAATCGATTACGATTTGTCGTTAAATTATCATCGGATAAAATTCCTCGAACGTGTTCCTCAAGCCAAGACAATCGAAGTGCCAAATTTGAATTCGGCACATTCGATTGATTCAATCCGCCGCCGAATTTCATCATAGTCATCACATTCACATCGTTAATATTTAAATAGCTGCTTCCTTTCAATCGAAATGATATATTCCGATCGACGGCCGATTCAATCACAAAATTACCATTTTCGGTCAAAAATTTTGGCCTGGAAAATTAAATTTCATTTCAATATTATTTTTTTTTTATTATTTTTTGAAATTTTGCTTCTTACTGATCGTCAAAGTAAGCACTGTCACAACTTCTCCACAAAAAAATTAATAATACTAATTTTAATTTCGTCATTTTAATGCATTTTTTTCGACTGAAATTGATAAAAGAAATACACGAACTGAAAGACTGTATGTAAACTTATTGATGGTAACTGAATTGAAAAAGTGGGCGTTTTTCTGGATACTTCACAATGGAAACTTTATTATTTTTGTGAGATTTTTTTTGTTTAATTTGAATGATTTTTTGTTTCGAAATTCAATTTTACACTCGATTTTTTTTTGGAAAATCTGATCCGAATTAATGAAATTCGATGATTTGTAAGAACTTCTTGTTAATACCATCAATATATCTTTTTGAAAGTAAACATTTAACTGAAAACCAACTAAATTTGATTCGTAAACATTTGAATAAAACACAGTTGCCAGTTTAAATTAAACTAAAAGTGAATGAATCGTTTGCAGCATTTATATACGGAATGGGGCGTATATCATTTGGTGGATTAAAAAAGTGAACATTTCTCGAGATAGCTTCCAAAACACCCAATTTTGTGATAAAAATTTGTAGTTTACGTCGAAATTGATTCATTGGCATCAAGAGCAGCATGGCACAAGTTACAAGTCAAAAGATAAAATATATTCACATTAAAGGCATTCAATTAATTTACGAATTTACTGATGTTCAAAGGCAGTGCATTATTTAATTTCTTGTGGATTTCGTACATTGCATTTATTAAATGAAATGCATGAAAGATCCAAAATGCAGAACATTTAAAAGACTTTAATTCTCCTAAGGCATATTTATATATAGCGCATATCCATTGCAGGAATTTGGCAAACGAATTTAATTGAACATCAATGTAATTAATTTGTTTCTTTGAAGTGGTTTTTTGTAGGTGATGGGGAAAGAGAAAAGTTAGAGAGAGAGGCGAGAAAAAGAGATGAAGGAGTCGGGGGAGAGAGACAGAGAGTAAGAAAGAGTTAACACATTTGCACCGTCAAAAACTGTTGGTTTATTTAAATCATTGACCTAGAAATTGATGAGTATATCACTCGTGTTTACTTCCATTTCTTTATGGTAAATGATATTTGTGTTAACGCACTTGCCACAGATCGATCGTTAATCGATTCAAAGTGCTAGTGCTGAGTACTGAATAAACTGTGAAATGAGACGCTTTGTACACAAGCATTTGTTTCTTTTGCATAAATTTGTTACAATACACTTGAGAAATCAATGAAGCATCGATACTCGACGCATATTTTATCAATATACACCGTCGATGTGTTCGTCATTCGTGAGAAATAATCAGTTAATATTGCATCCAAAATGAGTTACATTGAAATGAAAGCGTGAAACTCTCTCTCTCTCTCTCTCTCTCTCTCTCTCTCATAGTTTGGAAGGGATAACAGCTTAATTAGCGAGATTCGTCTGTTTTCTACTTCAAATTTATGTATATATGTATCAAGAACGTTCGTGTTCCACCATTTGCCCGTAGAGAATGTAAATCAATCGAACACCGTTTCACTTGTTCCTCATTGCGCTCGAAGATTTTCGTACAAAATAAAAACCATTGACATCATCGATCGATGCGGTTAGTTTCGGCAGAAAATTTGACACGAGTGAACGAGTTCAAGTGTTTGATAGCAAATTAATTTATTTTTTCTATTCGTTTTTTCAATAAAAAAGTTTTTTGTGAGATTTTCCCCAATTTTTTTAAAATCCATTCCGTTTTTTCAGTTTTCAGGCATTTCAGAAGATAAATGTTATATTTTTTTTCGTTGAAGATATAATTATATAAATAGAAAAAAAAAACTAACAACGTTATATGTTAGTGTAGAACAAATAATTGGATTTCGTTGAATTTTGAGCTGAAAAAAGAGAGCCCTGTGTTGGGCTGTCGTTGAGCTGTCTACATTTTCTCTCTATCGCTCTATATATCGTCTTCTCTCTTTCGCACACAGTTTGAGTTCATTTTGTGAATCAAAGACCGTAAAAAACGACGCTATATTTCACACAGTGCAAGTTTTATTAGCCAATTTTAGTAGTGAAGTTATATTCTATCTCGCTACTAACATAAGAGTATAGATAAAAAGTGATACAGTGCCACATACACATTTAGATAAATTAGGTTGGACAACATCGCCGGAACAAAAAAAAAAACACACACACCATATACACGCCCGTACCGAAAGCAAGAGACTAAGAAAAAAGAGAGCCATGCAGAAAATTCGAGTTAAACTGTTTTGCAAATTTATTATCATTTTGTGTTGGTTTGTGTGCGGCATGTGCGGAGCAAACGTTTCACTGAATTCGTTTAACCAATCCACCGAGGTTAATCAAACACGCCACGCTAAATGTAAGTATCATCGCACGCGCTCACCACCAACCATACAAATGCAAATATTTATTACAAACTTTTTTTGTTGCGTTCTTTCACTCTCGCTCATCTCTGTTCGAAAGCGGGATGGTGCTGAAGAAGAAAAAAAATGTGATGAAAATTTATAAATTGTCCATTGGCCAACAAAACCTAGGGGATATCCATGCGAATTAGAATTAGCACATTAGCAAAAAAATAGGGAAATTTACATGAAGAAAATAGCAAAATTAGCAATAAATAGCAGAATTAGCACTGTACACGTATATACTTTAGTAAGCATTTATTCTTGAATATATTGAAATAATTAATTAAAATAAAATTCACAAAACAAACGAATTGAATAGTGTTGAACTAAAATATATCAAAATATGTAGTTAAATACGCTTTTTCTCATTTTTAAATAAAAATATATTCAATGGCACGTAACCAAGCACGTTTCATCGGTATTAACTACAATTTACGAATTGCAATCGGAAATGTAGATTTGATGACAGATTTCTTACTGAAAACGTATACGCTAGTGCCTGCTTCAAATATACACGTTGAAAGTGTCAACTTGAAACATTTACGTAAACACATTTCAGTTATTCGATCATGCTGTCAATCTGACGTATGCAATATTTTTGACGTACTAGAGAAATTAGCAAAAAATAGCAGTATTAGAACAAACTAGTAGAAATACTAGCAGAATTAGTGAAAAATAGAGAGAAATAGCGTTTATTATTATAAATTATTCGATCTGCAATTCACGGTTATCCCCTAGAACAAAACAGAACCAAATGTTAAAAAAGAGTGTGCTTGCAGGGTTTCCATTTTATACAATTGGACGATTCTTGAATACACCGTGCGAAGGCAAAAATAAACTACTTGGAACGTGTGTGCTGAACGGTGAATGTCAAAGTGCTGGCGGTATCGTAACGGGTACATGTAAATCAAATACACGGCAAGCTATATGCTGCATATGTAAGTATAATCCAAAAGCACAACCGATTGTAACACTACAGAAAATCAACACACGATTGAAATCGTTAAGTAATTGTCGCACAAATTTCATTTTCCATTCATTATATCAGATCAACAAACTTGCGCATCGACAACATCCGAAAATAACACGTATTTTGTGAATCCAAACTATCCGGATCTATGGAATGGCGTCAGCCAAACGTAATTATTAATGCATTAATATGCTTGCCGGCCACTAAATATTTCGATTTTTTAAAATAATTTTTTTTTTCTGTTTTTGGTCAGGTGCTCATTGAATGTCCAACCGGCCGAGAATGTGTGTCAACTTCGAATTGATTTGCTCGATTTTTCGTTAGCACCGCCAAGCGGTGATGGAACATGTAATACTGATGTAATTTCAATCACCGGTTCAGCTACAAATGTCCCAACGTTGTGCGGCGATAATGCCGGCCAACATTTGTATGTTGATTTTGATGGCACAAATCCAATAACCATTGCAATTAAAACAACGTCTAGTTACACATTCGGTCGACACTGGAACATTCGAGTGGCGCAAATAACTTGCGATTCAGAATATAAAGGTATGTACTTCATTCACATTTCGTGTATGTCGTTGTCACTTTTTTCATCACAATTTTACAATTTAATAATGCGAAAAATGTGATTTGTTTAAATAGCACCGTCGGGTTGTTTGCAATATCACCGAAATCCAAGCGGAATCATTCGAAGTTTTAACTATGGCTCATCACCAAATTCAATACCAAATGCAGTGGGTGTAGAGGGTTCACGACAAATTGCAAACTTAAATTATGGCATTTGCATAGCGGCCAGTGCTGGTTCATGTTCAATCACCTATTCGCCACTTTCGTCCGATCCATATTCGTTTACATTAAGCGGTGATGTTGGCGGTGTTGATGTTACAATGCTTGGAAGTGCCACATTACAAGAACAAACATGTACTACAGATTATCTGATTATACCCGATCCAAGTCAAACTGGTGTGCGCTTATCTTCGGGCGGTGATCGATTTTGCGGGCTTGGTCTAACGGCAACGACTTCAAATGTTCTTCCGTATGTATTGTATGTGATTACCGATTCAAATGAAGCGCTCGATATTGGAAATCGTGGATTTGCATTGAACTATGCACAAAACGTATGCCCAGTTATCTCAACGGCTACATCGACGATATGAATTTTTTTTTTGTATGAAATAAATCGATATGAAAAAAGAAGACATAAAACTCGTATTTGCTTTTTGTCAATATGCAATTTAATTTACTTTTTGCATTGTATGAGAGGGAAAAAAATCGACCTGAATATGAAAATAAAGTAAGTGGGAAATTGAATTTGAAAATTTAATTAATTCACTAAATCTATGAAGGGCGTATCTACTGTGCATGACCGCTAAGCCAAAAAAGCGGTAAGCGATAGATTGTTTTACCATACGATTGTATATTTGTTTATTTTGTTCGTGCGCAGAGTGCGACCGAAACCAAAGTGTTACTACTGCAAAATATTAAGCGCATCGTTGATTGGAATTAAAACATGTTGCACGCAATTTAGAATTATCCCATATATTCAGCCAATGTTTATACACAGCAAATAAGCATACAATTGTCATGCAAGGTGTGAAGTATCATGGCAAAACAAATGAAATTCGATATCTTTTGTATGCGAATCGTTTCATGCAAATATTTTCGATAAACACATTTTTACCAACTTAATCAAATACACCCGAACACTTGCGAACTGATTGCGCTATTTTTCGAGAACAACCGTTATGATGAGCCATTTTCACCAGTTCCGAATATGGAAATTATTTTATTAACAATGTACGAATGAAATGAATAAACATCGAAAAACAAACCAACAACACAATCGATGCATGACACAGACAATTCAATTATTGCTTTTTGGCTTCATTTTACATTCGAATGGAATGGTGATGTTTATCAGCCAGCATTTTGACAGCCTCAAATATTCGGGTGTAAAGTGTTTCATTGAGTGTGATAAAATATGATAATTTCATTGTTCACTGTTAAACAGAGGAAGGAATGTCTGAAAAAGAGCGACTACGATAAATGCTCTTCAAATCAAATCGTTCTAACAAATGATGCGGTTTTTCCTCGATTTGCCGTATAGCACCCAGGTGCTAAACTTCATCATAGATATCATCGCTTTAAAATTGACTGGCATTTATTTGAATTATACATTAAATTCTTGTTTTTACTCATTGGTTCGCATTACAAGTACAATTTATTTTCAAATTTCCTCGATTATACAGAGTAAATCGGATGGTGGCGTATTTGAAATCGTAAAATCTGTTGCCCATGAAATGATTTGCTGTTTAATATTTTGAGTTATGATTTCATCAGTATCAGTTCAATTCCATTTCGACAAACCTTTAATCTCATTAACCGAACGGCATATCAATAATTGTATATACTTGGAATCTTAATTTGAAATTCAAATTAAACGCTGGTTATTTGATTAGCTTGTAACATTTGAATATTGTACTATCTGCATTTGTAATACAACTGATAAAAGTCAATCAAATATTTGAGCATCCAAATATACTAATTTACGTGACCAGAGCTTGAATTTTACAACGCAGCAACAATTTTTCCAATTAACATTTTGTCATTTCATTAGCTGATTATTCAAATATTTGTATTTGATTTTCACGTGAACGATTTTGGTTTTGCTTTGTTGATATATTTATCGATTTCAATACCAATTAGTTTGCCGATTCAAATTGTTACACGAAATAAAAAAAACGAATCAATTTCATTTGAAACATTTTAAAATCCGGTGAAACTATGAAAATTACCAAAATTCAATTTTATCATTATGAAATGTGGTTCAAATCTACTAAACCAAATATTTGCAACATCACCATGGTGAGTTAGGTGCACTTAATATGGATGACAATATTGTCAGTATCCGCATTTATATTCGGATAAATAAAAACATTTAGCGCAAAAAATGAACTATTTATACACAATTCAATATTAATACTAATAAACATATTAAATTTATCTGAATTTTCAAATTTGAAGATATTTATTTGTAAATATATATTGAACAATATTGAAGTCAAGAACAAATGTCTAATTTAACATTAATAACATTTGCTATGCATAAAATGTATTGTAGAATCTCCTAATTTTGCAAAACAGTTGAGCAATGAGTTGAATCTTCGCACATAACATGCAGTACTTCATCGCAAGAACACAAACCCCATTTTAAATTGTGCTTGTGCCATAGTCTTATGCACTTGGAACTAGAATAGTAAGTAATTGGTTCATTTGGTGCCGACTCCGTGAAATTTAACTTTTTGCCATTATCCAACCAATAGTAAACTGTATCACCTAATAGAGTTCCTGAGGTCCAGAAGCTCTCATTATCGCAACCTGATTCAGGGAAAATTCACGTAAAATGAAAAGCAATTATGAATTAGAAATTTATTAATTTACCAGCTTCTTTAATTTGTTTGGCGATGGCGTTATGCTCTTCTTGGGACGAAATAGTGATCAATTGTTTTCCGATTGAATGGCAGTAAGCTTGCGCTTTACTATAAACCAATTGGACTGAACATTTGTTGCAATTGAAGTTTAATTCAAGTGTTAAACGGTGAGTAATTTTTATTTATTTGATTAACGACATTTTGACGATCGTTGTCTCTCACAATATGTATAACTAAATAAATAAAACATTAATACTTCCATGCAATAAATTTGGTTCAGTTTTAAATATGTCACTTTCATAATAAAAATGTTATCGAATTAATATTGTGATTTGCATGTACCTTAAAAAACGGTTCAATAAAATATTTTTTCTGCACAAATGGTGTATTACTGGTATTTATTCTGAGAAAAATGTGCATTGTATACTCTTTTATAGTGCTGCGATATGTGGTGATAATATATGAAATCAGTAATCGAGCTCATTCGACTTCAAAGTACAAAAATATATATTGCAAGATTTATTAAAAATTAATCAAAGGACACGCAATGATTCATAGCCATCGTTTGTACGATTATGCATGAGTTCTTCTTTTGTAAAAATGATGAAATGTATTTTTTGTCGCTAAAAGCAACATTCTACTTTTTCAAAATGGTCCTAATTGACATGTATCATTCTTTTGGCATGAAATAATATTTTGAGAAGCACAATTCCACGAAGATTTGTTATTGGCGTATGTTTTTCTTTGTTAGATACATTACTTATTGACGCTTTTTGTATTTGCTTCATAAATGCTGAATAAATCTGTGTAAAATATGATTCACAGATGATATGAAGCGAACAAAGTATTTAAATTACATTTAATCACTTGCTCTTTTGACCTTAGGAACATGTACGGTTGTGAATTTGTTTACACATCACTTCAGCTTAAATGATCCGAAGCAATTCATTGATTAAGTAGCGAAAAGTAAAAAGTATAGAGCAGCTGTGTGTGTCATCTATTATTTTCAAGAGAATGGGGCTCTTATGAGAGAAATGGTGACGTGCCAATCCATAACGCCACCAAGGCAGTTAGTCACTGAACTATAAATTTCCTATTGACGATCTCATTATGTTTGTGTGATTTTATTAATAGGAATTGAAAGAATTATAAGGTTTAATCCGAAAGTTTTGTAAGGTTTCGCCAACATTTTACACAGTGTACCAGTCCCATGATTATTTTATCAAAAGTGTTTCACGACCATTTATAATTTAGTATCTTCTCACAATTTGACAAAATTGGGAACAAGTTTATATTACACAATCACTTTGCGTGATGTTTTAAGTTAAATTGCATAGCCATCCGCACTCCATTAATATCAAATGAACAAGTTGAGTTTAATGCTCAATTCAATGGCATCGCATGTAATGCGATCGTGTACAAATTTTGGGTTTGCTTATAAGCCAAAAATGTACTCCACCAATGATACTTTTATTGAAGAGTATTTGGTGTGATGGCTTTTTTAACGGAATTCATGTTAAAACAAGTGCACTTGCATCCAAGCTCCAGTTCGCTTTTAGTTCATAAAATGACAATGGGTTTGAACAATGGAATATTGTACACAGTATCTTTTTAACAATAAGTGAATCATGCTCTATATACTCAGAAATTGAACATTCGCCAGTCACTCAGGTACATTTTGCTTTTCTCTTGAGAGGGTATATGTTCTGCACGAATTGAGTTTCTTGAAATTTTAGAAGTGCTCACTTTTGCTGGATTTTTTTTTTCGCTTGCTGTCATTTGAAATCAGAACAAAGCTCCAATTTTACTTTCGCTTTGGCACACGCACACACACACAGCCACTTCGAATATTATGAATAAAAGCAAATCGTATTTTGTACATACTTGAAAACTTTTGATAACAAGGAACTTTTCCAATTATCATTTCTTATGAAAGGGTGTTCGGTGGATATTAGCGTAAGATAGAAGAATGTTGCATATCGCAACCGAAAGCGTTATCGTTTATTGGCATCAAAATTTGTGGCAGACATGTGCTATTTGTCGAATAAGAGTGCAAATCGGATGAAAGTATTATGCGTTTGAGTGTGTGAGTGAGACTTTCATTGCAAAGAATCCTAAGCGCAAGTTCATTTTCCAAAATGCAACTTAATGATTCAAGCATTACAATGGATCTGCCGCATATCTATTGTTAACGTTGCCAACAGTTAACTAACTCTCCAATTGTTCTCCCTTCTTTCCCATTTTCCGTTGAAATTATTTTTGAATGTGGTAAATTTCATACGTCTTTTCTCATCGTATAATTAGAATGAAATTTATTTGTACACTTGATTTCGAACAAAGTTTCGAGCATACACATGCACTAATGAGTTTATAATATATTAAATGATCAAGAGTCTGAACACTTCTTTTGGTGCAAGCATGCTCTCAAATATGTGCTACAAACACAAATTATTTACACAGCATAAATCACAGCCAACAACATTATTAATCATTATATTCAGAACAATTAATAAGATAAGTTGTTGAATGTGTCTGCTGCGCGACGGATATTTGCGACTTATTTGTATACTTTGAAACTGACTTGTGTGTTTCATGCTTGTCTTGTTGTTGGTGGCGTTTTTCTTCTCGCTATCGCCTTACAGTGTGTCAAGATAGAGAGAATATGCAATTACGTTGTTTGAAACAATTACTATGTAATTTCTTCACTTGAGTTTATAATGCTTCGCCTTTTGTTTCATTTCAATAAACGCTTATGTACACACACACACACTTCCGCTTTATTATAACCCTTGAAACAATTTAATTTTTGTCATTATTATTGCATATTAACCATTTACACTGCATTTCAACTTGAACATTTTTCAACTCAACGCGCTTTTTTGTAGCAAGCTTTTTCTTTGCCGATATTACCAACTAACTGGTTGAAAATCAGTTGAAAATTTTGTTAAATATTCTGAAAAATTCACGAGAAAAAGTGATGGAATCTATTAACTCATTCATAATACTCGAAAACGGAAAAAGGGGACTTTTTCAATTCACAGAGAGGAAAAAAAAAAGAAAAATAGAGAGAGGACGAGACGGAGGTAGAGAGAGAGACGGCGATGGACAAATAAGGTAAAAGAGGGCAGAAAAAGAAAAATTGGAAAGGGACAGAAAGACAATGCAAAAAATGCGACGAGTAAATATTTAATTTTCGACCGAGTTCAAATTAACTTTTAAAATTCCATCACTGTGCTGAGAACTAAGCTGTCCAACAATTGATGAAAAGTCTCACTTCAGAATAAAAACACCTGCATCATACATATGTATTTGACCAAAGAGCGATTGTAATTAAAAGCACTTCAACAATTGTATTTTTTAGCTTGGCGTGCATTGCTTGTGTGTCACCCACTTCGAATGGCTTATTGAAATAGTTAATGGAATCAGCGTGGCTGGAGAAAGTTTGTACCCCTATTCGCAATATTAAAACAACAATCTGATTACAAAAATTAATTCTTTTATTATTGGATTAAAAAAGGGCGATTTTCATTAAAGTTTATTTCAACATGTCCGAGCAAACAAAAGCATTTTCAAATATTGAATTCAGATAGCAAAGTTACACAAGATATCGAATTAAAACACGACAAAAAAGTCCGAGTAAAACGAGAATTTGTTCTGTGGTTATTTAAATTTCGAATAGTTTTTCAGAATATAACTCAATTGATGGATGCTTTTATCCGTTGTCTCTTTTTTAATTTGTTCTCTAGTTCGTTGAACATATATATTCAAAATAAAGTCAAATAATAAGTTTCTATGACTACCGCATCAATATTCCTCTGTGTAGAGTTTTTGCGACCAGAGAAATGTGGTGAGCAGCATATTAAATTGGGAAAATCACAAAACTGAACTGAGTTATATATACTGCAAATATATAAATCGTTGCAGTGTTTATTAATTTTGATATTGCATTTTAATATTTGTTAAAATTGCGAGAATTCGAATCAAAGTCAAACAATCAAATCGTTTGTGACACATTAAAAACGGGCGTCCTTTGATTTTACGGTTGCATTTATAGTTTGATATTGCAAACGACATGCAAAAATGTGATTAATGAAACCAATGTGAATGTGTTGAGTTCGCCGCCAAATTAAATTCCAAGAATTCGGAAATTGCAATATTGCATTTGGTTTGAACCAAATGAATTGTTTTAATATATAAGCGTCAAATGCATAACTTTGACTGCAACTTAATTTGATCGTTTTGTCATTACACTGGATTTTGGTTGAGTTAAACATATTCTAAAATTGTACCGTCGCAAAAAATGTGACCGATAAGCGCGACAAATCTCGTTTTAATTCGAATTTTGGTTGTGATAAATGCATAAAATGTTCAAATGAATCATATGATTTTCGTTATTTTCATGCCATTTTGCAGTGAATCACACACAGTGAATCTAATATTTTTGGTAGACAAAATTTTGCATGACACACTCCACTCACACGCCATTCGTATATGAATCCTATGTTAGTGGAGAGTTTCTCTGCTTACTTTGCTTGTTATTTTGTCTATCAAAAAAATTAGATTCACTGTAGAATGCTGACGAGAGTTTTTTTTTTGTTTTTGAACAAATATGTATGGAAACTCTTCAAACAACAATGTATTCCGAATAAATTCATTGTTTTTCGATGAATTTTTATTTATTCACGCAACGCAGTGTATGACGTTGACTCTGTGTTATCATTTTTTTTTCTCTTTGTGAATTTTGATTGTTTTTATCATCGCATCGTCTTGATGCATGCTATTTTATTCATCTTATACAGTGTTTTTGTGTCGACTCGACATCAAAAAAATCAATAAAATGCTCTAGGTTTTGAATTTCCTTCTTTATTACCTACAACTGTTTTATTCATGGATAATACAACAATGTCGTACATATTTGAAATTTCATATGTTTTCTCAGTCCCATTTTGGTTGAAATAAACAATACGATTAAAATTGCTCATTCTGTAGCTCTTAGGATGCTTTTAATATAGCTTGACTTCAAAGCATACGGCGTTGATGTTAATTGTCATTAAAATATCGATTTTTTTCCATATGAAAAATGATTGATTTTCCATATAAATCGGCTCAAAAATGAAGTTTGCCTCCACAGTTTGATCATGGAGCGTGATAATGACCTGAATTATGGCTGAATTCGGTGAATTAGGGTCCAAATCTCAATTTCCCGCTTGCTAACTCTCTGAATGTAGTACAAAATTTCGCCGGAATTGGTCATTGAAATATATATGTGCATTTTTTTGCCATAACAGTTCAAGTTTACTGAATCGAGTGCTCTTTTTCCTGGAATTGTGATAAAGTCATTTTTAATTGAATTTTTAGATAAGATTAGAATAAACAACCAAAGAAACATGTCATTCACAACGCTTTTGTATATACGATTGCTTGAGCTTGCAATGACTTAATGTTGTTCTATCTGTTCAAATATTTAGCTGTATGTTCACATGTAGTGGTTTCTAAATTTCGAATATCTTTTAATTTTTTCCTTTTTTATATTCGTTTTAATTTCAGAAAGAAAATCACAATCTATCGTAAATAAAAATTCCCCAATGTCAGCGAATGATTAAGTATAATCGTTCTTGTTTACAGCCATTCAAAAAGTGTGTATGTTTTGCTCTCTAGTATTAGTAGATGTTTTTGTATGTAAACTCGCTGTTTTATTTTTCTCTGTTCACGTTCTTGTAGAGATAAGCTTGAGGAGATCAGATGACAGCACATATACAGTTCTTATTTCATTTACATTATCTATTATGTACTGTTCGCGAGCTTTGAATTTGAACATGCATACAGATTTGGCTTAATCAAATTCAAGCTGAATTTAATGCGAAATCGCATGTAGAGTAAATTTGAAAGTCATTAATCTTTTATATTTCATTGAAATCGAAAGCAATTTCATTCTTAAAGACAAACAAACTTCGGATTAATTTTAATAAAGCTATTATACAATTGCTGCAAGAATTTTTTAGAAAATATTTAATAGCTTCTTTTATCATGATGAAAGTGATTTTTTCGTTTGCTTTTTTATTATTTTGTCTTGAAGTCAGTGCGAATTCTGATTTAGATAATCAACTGCTCACTGTCGCTGACAATGGTATATATAAAACTCTCATAAAAATATCTGTGATAAAGTGATCCACACCCCTATAAAAACAAAAAAATCAAATCTAGAATAGAAAGAAATCTACCAATATAAACAAAAAAAATATTAATTTTATTTTGTGTTGTGTCCGTAAATTTTGAAAAAATCTTCATATACAAAACTGTATTTATTTGTTAATCGAACCTCACCACTTTTCATGCTTTCAAGGCAATATGGATGCAGTCAAAGATCTAATTAATCGTGGTGCGAATGTAAATTCCCAAGATGACTTGAATGAAACGCCACTCCATAAGACGGCGGAGAGGGGTAATTGTACACTTTTCCAAAGAACCGTGTCAATTTTTCATATAACGACTGAGCCAGCAGTTTTTGACTGACATTTTGTCTAACCCTACACTTGTCATAACTGAGCAGAGTGCGTTTAACTCTCAAACGCCACATTTGCATCGCATGCATGCTCGTAAATAAGAATTAGATAAATTGAAATGGAAATATTAAAAACGATGATAATACAAAAAGAGTATTGATTATTCAAAATAATTGGAATAATAAAAATAAAATAAATTAATTTTTATTTTTATATCATTTGATTTTTCGGGTGAATCCTTCTATCGTGAATTAAACGTACGTTGTTTTGTTATGATAGCCACAGGGTTTGACAAATTTGTAAGCAATGACTGGCACACTTTTTGGCATTGTTCTTTGAATGACAAGTTTAATTTCATCGCATTTTATGCTTAATAGGTTTCACAGAAATAGTCAAATATTTAATTGATAATGGAGCGAATGTGAGTGCTGCAAATGGATTTGAAGAAACTTCACTTCATATGGCTGCGTTGAATGGTAATTCAATCGTTTTCCGAATCAAGAAGAAATGGTTTCGATTCGGAGGTTAATCTGATAACTTTTCGTCTTCCTAGGTCACATTGAAATAGTCAAAATTCTAATTGGAAAAGGTGGAAATGTGAATGTGAAAAATGACCACAAAGAAACACCACTTCATATGGCTGCGTTTTATGGTAATTATCCAATTTTCTGAATTAAGAAAAATACCAGTGTTTTCTATACCGTACTTTTCAAACTTTATAAAAATTAATATGTTAACGAAAAGCGATAAAACGTGCTTTATAGGTCACATAGAAATAATCAAATATCTGGTAGATCATGGGGCGGATGTAAGTGCTCGAAGTGACAAGAATGAAACTCCACTTGCAATGGCTCAAAATAAAGATAATTTGAACACAATCCAACAAATTCAAAGCGCCGCAATGATAACTTTACATCGCGCGGAAGCAATCGAATTTCTATTGAAATTTGAGAAAATATCAAAGGCCAAAGTTGGTAATTATTATTATTTTAAATTAAGCTAAAGTCAAAAATGAACCTTGAAAACTGCATATTTCATAAGACTCGTTTAGATTTATTAAAATTCGAATGGATTTGAGAAGATTATCAAAGATGCGATAACTTTGATGCACAATCCAAATCACCTTTGAAAGAAAAAATCGGTGCCAAAAGTTTAATTTGATTTGATATTCTTTGAAATTTAGCTTGCAGTCAATTTTCAGTTCAATTTCCTGAGGACTTAGTAGATAAACGTTTAACACCACGGGTATTAGGAGGCGATGTGGCAGAAGAGGGTGAATTTCCTTGGATGGTAAGATTGATTGATCATAATTTTCGAAATATTTAAATGCAATTTACTTTTTTTTTGAAAAGGCTGCATTATTTTACTTAGACGATTTAAGAGTAAGATTTGGCTGCGGCGGCACTGTAATATCGGAGTACTATATAATGACGGCTGCACATTGTACGAATGAACGTCCGGTAAAGGTTCGGTTGGGAAAGGTGAGTAAAAATTACACGTTTGTGTAGATTTGGTTTGCTTGATTCAATTCTTTTTCCATATTCAATAGGTTTCTCTAAACGATACATATACCGATGTAATCAGGGCCTCATATTATTCTATAGAAGTAAGTAATACACATTTGAAATTTATTAGATACATTTATTTACTAAAAGTTTTTTTATTTTGTTTTTAGAATATCACACGACATCCAAATTATTCATCCGTAACGAAAAAGAACGACATTGCATTGATACGACTCACAAAAAAGATTTATTTCTCCAATACAATTAGACCGGCGTGTTTACACACAGATATGAATGATGTTGATACAAAACTAATTGTGACCGGATGGGGCTCTACTGATCTTAATAGTATGTTGAATTGTTTCAAAATTGAATCTTTTTTTAAACTTATTTGCCTTATTTTTTTAACTTTAGGATCCAATTCTCATTCATATCAGTTACGTAAAATTGAGATAAATACAACGCCGTTAAGGGAATGCAACAACATATATTTCAATTCTAATCAACTGTGGAATCTGCCGTCTTTTCGATATGGCATTAGTGACGGACAATATTGCACATTCGATCCAATTGAAAAAAATGATGCTTGTATAGGAGATAGTGGAGGGCCAGTTCAACTTATTGACAATAAAGATCCCAAGAATGTCACAATAGTTGCTATCGTTAGTTTTGGTATGAGTTGTGGCTTGGATTTGCCCGGGATTAACACGCGCGTTGCTCATTATATAAGTTGGATTGAATCCGTTGTTTGGCCATAAAATTAAGATGTTTTTAGTAAATATTTTCACATTTTAAATAAATCGTTGATAGAATGTGTAGAAAATATAAATAATGACAAAGCTCCATCAGTGACATTGCACAAATTTCATACGTAAAGACTTAGATAAGCATCATTTTACTATGTGAAGTTGTTCATTCAAATGTTCAACAATATTCATAAAAGTGGCGCATTCTCTAGCGCATTCTCGAGAATACACTGCCAATGTAAATACACAGCCACTCATTATGGTTGATATGCCTGCAATAAATAAAGCTAGAAGACTACACCAAAAACCAAATAAGTCAATTTTGTTGGGTCACATTTTTTTCAAGTCAAGTACATTATTTAATCATTTTTCTTTTCATTGCAATGTCTTCAGGTACCCATGGAGTCTTCAGGTACCCAAGCATGATATGTCTCTTTCTGCTGCCCGGACAACATTGAAATCCAACTTTCTTGCTTTTATCAATTTTCACATGTTTCTTAAGACAATACTCCGACTTTTTAACCATCTTACAATTGTCATCGCTCCACCCATTAACTAAAACTCCCTCGCGTCTTCCCACGCATATTTCGTCATCATTGTATGAAATTGTCATATTTTTACAACAAAAGCAACACAACTCCAAAGAAACTGACGTCCATGGATCAACTCCATGAGAAGACTTATGAATATAAGTATCTCTGGCGGCTATAAGTTTTTCTACGCTTTCAAATAACTGATAAGTAATCTCGTGCAAATAATATCTATTTGTGCGATCTCGAACCCATGGCCTGGTAGTTCTCTCACAGACTAAATTATGATAGTCTGCCGCAACTACTGCTACAAGCACTGGGGTTTTAAAAAAGAAATTATTTCAACCGAAAATCAAATATTGACATATATAAACCTTTAAAACAAAACATACCAACAAAAAATAATGACAAAATATATATCATTTTAAGATTTCTTTTAATTGATACGCGGGAATTTTTAAACTGAAATGTTATTTGAGAGTTGCAGTCCTTATAATCGGGTGTAAACACATTAGAATTCAAAATACGACAGACTTGAAAAATAAAAATGAAATTGCGACAAAATTATATTCAATATTTCGAATGAAAAACAGGTTTTTTTGCAAAGTATGACGAATTATAATGTTTGAGTCAGTTGATAGAACACAGATTTTAAGTCATGACGCTCAAAAAAGTAAAAACACATTTAAATGTTCGGGTAAATAATCGAGGATTCCTTTTCAGTGAATTATTCTCATGAGAATTAATAATTTTTCAATCATTAGAATCATAGTTTGATACTAGTCAGACATTATCGTACTGAAATTATGCTCAAAGTGTCACACAGCTAGCGCTACGACGGAATTCAGTGTAATCTATACTAAGTTGCCGCCCACTAGTGAAAAGACTTTTGCTCAGTTACAAACAACTGACTAGAACTCCATAGTTTTACGTAGTGGCGCTAGCTGTGATACAGTTTTGCATTTTATACAGTCTCTTATGGAACATAATTGCAGTGTGGACATTATATTGAGATATTTTCAGCCAGATGAATCAGCTCAGGCAACTGACGTCAGACGCTATATATAATGTCTGGATACTATTCGCAGTACGATATAAGTTGGTACTTTTTGATTTTGTGACAACAACAATTTGTCACTTTTCAAAACATTTGGAATTGAAGATTCTCGGTTCATTTCACCGAATATAAATCCAGTTTATCTTCAAATATTTTAAACAAATATTATATTTTTCATCGAATATGTAGATTTTATGGTATTTTCTACGAAATGTATAGTTCTTATCGTATTATGGCATTTGTTATTTTTTGAGCTTGAAGAAGTCTGGTTTCTGAAATGTTCTACTTTCTATAAATTTCTCTCAAAGTTCCGTATATGAGAGAATAATAATGTGAGCGGAGTAATCTCACAGTTTATAATCGAATTTAGTGCAAAAGATTTTTTTGCTTGTCTCAAAGTACATTTTGCGAGCATTTATGTTGAATTGAAGAATAAACTAATTTCGCCTGTTCAACAATACGTCGCAAATATAAAATTATGAATAGTATCCGATTTTATCATCAGCACCTTTAAAATTCCGCAAGTGATTTTGACCCAATTTTCGAACATTTAAAATTATAGTTTTCACAAGAGACTACTTGCGTGCAAAATGATTGCATCATATTCGTATCATGTACGTTATTTTTTACAACTATTTTAATGTTTCTGCACAATTTATTCTGTCGTAATTTGCTCGACGAGTGCAATTTTCGAGATTTGAATTAAATGCTGCATCAGCAAAAATTCGTTTATCGCAATTTTAAGCGCACTTCTCAACTGAAAATAATCATAAAATTTATGACTTGAATTGATCGTCCTTTTCGAACAATTTTCTATGCATTTCAACGGTATAAAATTGTTCATTTTCAATCGAAATCACCAGCAATCTCTCTCTCATGTATTACAAATTTGGTGCATTTGGCGTTTTGAAATGCTTTCGCAATTAGCTAATGAAATTCGTTCGTGACGATTTCCCACAAGCACATTTATTCCACTTTGATGTGTTATCGTGTACATTTGATTGGCTTGAGTACGTTTGCATGTGTAAAAAAGGGATGCACATGGCGTCATTTTACGAACTGGAAAAATGATTGGAAAACTTGAGAAATGTATGAAATAAAAAAAGACTATAGTGGCCGCAGAAACAGATACTTCAACGCAATTACGTTCAATTCGATAAAGAATTGGTTTTGTTTATTTGACGAACAAATTTTGAACTCGTTTCGGAATGAAGAGCCCGCAAGGATACCTTTTTCGATCGAAATTATTTCGAGCGCAGATTTTCAACCGGCATTCTCACACCAGGAAATCCGCTTTACGCTCCATTATCCGTCCATCACACTTGAATTGTTGATACTAACTGAATTCGATTCGATAACAACAGAACTGATAGAATGGAATATATGTTATCAAGTATGTGTTTGTAATAAGAACAAACGAGTTTATTTTTTTGTGTACACCAGGTCCTCTTTAAAGAGCATTACAAATAACAAAAGAAACATGAAATAAATAAAAGAGGAGCAGACAAAAGGCCTGGTGGTTCGAATGATGAAGGTAAATATTTCACCAGCAGAAGCACGACGGAATAACATCATAATTTCAAGCATCAAAAGGTGTCGACAACACCGAGATCTATTTTTATTGTGCCCACACTTCAATTTTCTCGGCATGTGTTTTTCTGATTTGTATTTTCAAGTTCTTTTATCCTAATTTATGCAAAATCAATTCCTGGAAGGATTCTGAAAAAAATATCTTGTATCTGTTTCTTGGCGAAATTGGAGTCTTTTGCTGCTGATGCTGTGTTGGCATTGTGTACTTATGAACATTTTTGATTGGCCCCACAGCGAAAGTTAGAGCACTATGAAATTGTGCCAACATATGAAAATATATCTCTTTAAATTCCAAAGCAGTTTGGAATTCAAATAAAACACAAAGATGCTTCAATGTCCCAATCATCAGATCATCGAATTTTGAGTTGATTTTTATTTGTTTGACTTGTGTAAAATAGCTTGAAGATTGGTGTTTAACGCCTTCTTTCTCTCCGCGCACCTGTAAAATGATTAATCTCCAGAGTCAGAAAGTTTGAATGCGATTTTTGTTTGTGACATTTACCTTCAATAAAAATATCTCTCATGAGACAAAAGTCATATAACATCGAAAAATTTTGCCGTGCTTCATTTTCGTACGTTCATAAAGCAGTGCACAGCAAAGTAATTTTCACAGGGAAAAAAAATTTCAATGTTAAAAGCACACAAAAGACATGGTCTTTAGAGATGTTTTGATGAATATAAAATAGATTCATGTTTTATCGTTTTATTTTACCAGTTCAGCCAAACAGAGAGACAGACAGTCTGTAGACACACATACAACACTCAGATAGAGAGAGAGAGAGAGAGAGAGAGAGAGAGAGAGAGAGCTTCCCCCAATTGATGAAAAGAATGTAAAACTACAATATGAAATTTAGAAGAAATACAGCAAGAACTCACATATTCTTTCCAAAGTGGTTAAATTAGAGGCTCTTTGATTCAAACCAATCTAATTCAATTACCATTGGCCACTTCTCTCACTAACATCACATTTGCGGTTTTTGCGCGCGAAAATAGTTTTTATTTCACTCCATCATGAATGATTCTTGTCCAAACTTAACATCTCTTCATTCAGATAGAACAAAGAAATTCAATTTGACTTATCCTTAACTAATGGGGTGCCTTTTTTATTGCTCACATAGAGAGAGAGAGAGAGAGAGAGAGAGAGAGAGAGAGAGAAGGTGATATAAATATCCAGGCGGAAGTCCACAAACTTTCCACCATTTCAATATATCTAAAAATGCTGTACAAATGAGCTAACACAATAGTTCATTATTTATTTAGGTGCACGGAATTTATTCTATTCAGGCACAAATAAAATCTCATCATAACTGCATTCATATTATAATGTATGTAAATTCGGTTCAATATGATTTATTACAATGTTTGAATTTCATGGTCAAACTTGAAACTTTGCGAAACGAACAATTGGAAAGTGCCGTACACGTACCGACATCCAATACGCACACACATACATACATCGGATCCGGTAATCCCAAACCACACTATTTCTGACAACGAATTCGTAATTAATTTACCGGCCATTCATGGTAGTTGTCGTTCGCATCATCCAGCTAGCGCGCAATTTGATTTAATTACCATCTGCACTACAGATTTTGTAGATATGCACGTATCTTGCAAAGCGAACGATGTACAACTAATAAAATGGAATCGGTAATGCAAACAAAGAGTGCAGTTCTTTGCGTCTCCGTTTTTATTCGGTTACAATGTAAAAGTATTCGATTTCTTTCCGTACAAAATTTAACAACATTATTTCAGAATTTTCAACCGAAAATATGAGGCGCAATTTTCATATTTTTCCAGGTAAAATTCAGTGTCTGTAAACAAATACTGTCATAAATAAACAAACAGAAGCTCGTGAAAAAAATGCAGTGTAAGTTTCATGTGGTTTTATGCAAAATAGATTTTTCGATCGGCTATCGTTGTTCCGAAACTAACTTCATTGGAAAATCTGCTTTTGATTTAGTTTTTCGTACATAAAAAATCGTTCATACAGCAATCATACATGCATACATATGAATCATCGTTTGTTTGTATTAGTAAAAGTCGTTGCGTCGTTATGAAAACGGAAACGCAAATATATTTTTTTGTTATAAAATGTGCATATTTATGACGTTTCATG